GAGGTAGGATGTTGTTTTCTTTGCCATCAACTTTTTGCGCCAAATTAGACGATCAGTTGTATCCATTTCATTTAAATTTAGAGCTTTCATGTCTTGCTCGATTGTTTGCGACCAGGACTTCTTTGGACGGCCTTTGGGACGTGTGCCAGGTACTTCAACATCTGCAAAAGAATTTATGGCACTGTTTCCACTTCGTTTGACATGACCAAACCACCGCAGACCATATAACAAAACCGGACGTATCCCAGATTTATAAAGTCTTGATCGTAGTGGTACTGGCATGTTACGCCGCATCAATATAGAGGCAAGGAGATGCCATTTATTCCAAGCTGCACGTATGCGTGCTCGAACGGCAGCTTCGGCTGTTCCAGTACAATCCAGATCATCTCCTAGATATTGAAACAATGTGACTTTCTCTACCTTAATTGCTTCAAAAATGATGCCATTTTGAATTTGTTGTTGTGGATTGATGCAAGCAGGACAAACAAAATTGGACACTTTAGATAAAGTACCAATTATTTTTGAACAACGTTTGTGACACTACTGGTTACACTGCTGACACTTGATTGAATTGTTACCCACACCAGCTTTACAAACTGAACAGGGCCATCGTCCAGTAGCTGTGGATTGAATGGTTTCACCAGTTTTCATTGCTTTGGTTTTGCTGATGTTGACTTTGAATCCATGATCGGCCTGTCTGGTGTTCCAATCTTCAAACATCTGTGCTGTATTCTGCTCAGACGTGGCTGTTAAAACGATATCATCAGCATATATTAGATTCGAAATGTCAACAGTGCGTATCGGTTTTGTGATTTCTCCCATCACAGTTATAAATAACAGTGGACTGAGAATCGAGCCTTGGTGAACTCCAACGCCGATGTCAAATGCATCTGAACTCGATCAAAGGCTTTTTCAAGGTCTGCAAAAATGTGTGATAGTTGTTGATGCTTCGCAAGTTATTTCTCTTGCAGTTGCCTAAGGATCTGATCTGCTTCAATTGTTGATTTTCCCGCTAGGAAACCAAATTGATAATTTCCGATTGTGATGCACGACGTTAATCTA